TTTCTATCAAATGTTGCTCACTATAAATGCGAAGTGTAGATATAGTTATTAGCGAGTTTTAGATAGACTTTTTTTCTCCCCGCAAGCGGCAAACGTGACCACGTTTTCATCGCTTTCCTGTATTTTACTTTACCTTTTACAAACTTTCTCACCAGGCGCAAATATTCTTTTGTTTTCCTACTACTTGGATTCTTTTGCAAGTTCTTTTCAGTAATGTAAAATACTTTTTCACTGGTCAACTGACGTAAATCTAAAACTCTCTATTAACCGGGTTAATAACTATATATTGACCTCGCATTTATCATGAGGGTTATAACAAAAATAAAGCCTTGTGAATAACAATGAAAACAGTGTCAATGAGAAATAACAGTATTTACCTATCTCCTAGTGATTTGACTCGTACTTGCAGTTGGTCATTATTCTCCGCCAATCTTTGGAATGAGAAGGTTTCTGCAGCCTGGAATTCCCAGTTGTCAATCTGTTCCATCTCAATTTCAGTCAATTTTAATTCTGTTGACAGAAAGAACAACATAAACCACAATAAATAATATAACATTCGATTTATTGCTGCAATGYTGGTTAGCAACATGGGTAGTGCCCTGGGCTTGCTCCAATTTCACCTTTCTTCCAACCAAACCACGAAAAATGTTAAAGAAYTTTGTGAAAGTCTAGTATTGCCCGGAACATTAAACAATTCAATCAATACTTATTCGCACACTTCTAATTAGCAAAAAGTCGAGTTTTTATTGTTGTTTTTTTCTTCGTGTGACCTATTAACATTCATCCCTGCTCGTGCATCACTAAATAGTTTGTAGATTTACCGTCCACAGGCAGCGGTAAAAAGATATATTCGCAAACTTTTTTAGTAAAAGTGAAAAAAAAACTTGCGAAAAAGCCGCAAGAATGCGGACGTTGTGCATGCGACAAAGTAATTATCGTTTTACAGAATTGTATTTACCACAGACAATTACTCATACTTTTACTGAGCCTGGTGTTGCACCAGCGACACAAGCATAAGCGTCTTTATTTCATAGTAACAATACATTGAAGAGTGAGGGTCAAATTTTTCCTTTTGTTTGTGTTAGCGCATGCGTGGCTGGTGAAAACCAGGCTTTRACGGGTAAACTTACTCATAGAACTCCCTCCGGGAGGTGGATTTGCACATCCACAAAGCTGCCAGACCCAACGAATAAAGACAAATAAATGACCGATAAGGATGAGAGGAGGCGAGAACATCGGCCGGTTATGGTACTCCAGAACTAAATCATATCGTTGGAACTTCCACACTTTATCTGAGTCTTCTTGGATGAGTTCGAATGTGTAACTTTAAACAGAAGGAAAGGATTAGTTATATCAAGGCATCAAATCTTTACTTCAGGGACGCGAAGCATATCTTTGAGTGGCTAATCTGGRAGTCCTCCTTTTCCTCCCCCTCCCCCCTCCCCCTCCCTTCCGCTGTCCCTATTCTAGTGTCGCAGACCATGTTTCTTACCTGAATATGGCAATGAGAAGGTTAAGAAGCAGCACGTTAGCAAAYAACATGTATGCAGCGAGGAGAAGAGGAGATAATTTTTGACCTATCGGTTCAACGACGCCAAAATCATCCGGCCTTTCACCTGGAATATAAGCAGCTTAGTTAAATATAAGCATGCAGCTTAGTTAGGCGTTTCCTAAAAAGAACACTCAAAATCAGGATAGTAGGCCAAAAATTAAGATCGTGGTTTCTGATTGGCTTTAGGAGCATCAGGCCACAAAAATTWAAGAAACGAGGTAGACTTGTTTGCACAATCAACTTTATTGACTGCCGCRGTAGTCGGCAGTGACTTATCTGCAAACAATGATGATTCTACATAAAGTTCAACAATCTTGAYATAATTGATTGACTTACCTTTGATCTCATCAAGGAACAATTCTCCATACATCTGCCAATAGGGCAGCTCCAACACTCCCCAGATGGACTTCCATGTGTCGTTTCGAGCATATGGGCCAGGTCCCGGGAACATRACTGCTTCGAGGGATATCCCGTACGATACGAGGAACACTAGTAATATTATGACAAACTGCTTCAAATCATCCATCTGAAAGATCAAGTAATATATTAGACGTGTARTCTGGTGAAAATGGTAGTGGTAGTGTACACGTGTCCCGCCTCTAGGATCTCAGGTTATATTCCTGAACMCGCGGCATCACATTTGAGTAGAGTTTGTTGGGGCTCTCCCTTGATTCGAAGGTTTTTATCCAGGTTCTCTGATTTTCCTCCCTCCATGTTAAATTCCATTTTAATYYGTSAGTCTGCYGTACTCTGACTTTGATCAGTCCAGAGGTTGTTTTAGTGAATATCGACAAAAAATTCGAATACCATACAATTTTTAAATGTATACAYCTATTTCAAAAAACGTTGTCGGTCGGAGATGAGCGATCTGAGACTAAACGGAATATCTGYGCTTTAATGTTTTCTTGCTAAAATAAGAAAAATCACATTTTTAACTCGTACATGCTTCATACTATTCCAATCTAAAAAAACGAGCGAGGTCGGAAATTAATTTTTCCGAATTTAATTCCAAGGGCTTTCGCCTGGAATAACCTCGTTCCCAAGCACTACAACTTACCTATATTATCTTCTACTATTTCATTAGTGCCACGYGGTCCACATACTCTCATCTTTGTAAAAAAACTCAGTTGTTCGACTGTGAATATAACACGTATTGCAGCGTGTTTGCAGCGTGCTACTCGCTCTGAAATTTCAGGTTTCACTGAACTTCGACCAAAGTTTTTTTTAAAAATAGGTGTAGTTGTTGATATACAGTCAATTCAAAAAACGCTGTCGTCGACCAACTCAAGCCTACGCGACTGGACCGAAAGGAACTCTGGGTAG